GTAGCACACCAGCAAGCATTTTTAAAAGTATTTCAACGTAAGAGGTAGAAGTACCAACTAGTAGTTACAAAGAACAATGAACCTCTTTGCACGCCACAGGATCTATTCAAGTTAGCACATTCTGTAACTTGGCTTTCAAATTCTGTACCGCCGTTCCTGAACAACGGGGACAACAGTTCTATTATTTTTCCCACTGCTTGCAGATATTTGGCACAGAAAATGAACAAAAGCCATGCAAATACAAGATACAATGTTCTTGGAGAAACGCATCAGTAAAATATGTCTCTCTAATATTTTATCAGTCTTCCCAACATAAAACGAGGTCCTATCATTGCATCCCTGTGCAATCAGAAGGTGAAGTTCTTGAGAGTGAATTATATTTCCAGGATTATCTCTAAGACAATCCTCTTCCAGAACTTACACACCAACTCATCTGTTTAAGTGAAGCACATACATACATATACATCAGTCAGACACTATTATTTCCACACTGTCATAATGAAGAGAGGGAGTGAGCTGACAAAAGACCTGTAAAATCATACAGCCAGATGTCAGTAATACAACCTAAATCAGAGCTTTTCTGTTTTGTTTTTAAAACAACCAAAGTGACTGCCTTTAGTATACAGAGAAATATGGAAGTAGAGTAGTGATATGGATAAACTTATCTGCTAATTTTACACTAATGGATTAACTAGCCACTATGCTTTGCTTGCACAGGGTTTCTGGGTTTCTGGAAATTTAGTATCCTGGAATCTAATCCTCACACATGAGACAATACAAAAACATCAGCAGGACGAATACTATGTTTTAACAGCAAGACATAATTTGCAGCCAACACCTGCATTTACTATCTATCCAATCTGTTTGGTTTATTTAGCTCTAACTGTAATATTCCCAAATGCTCAAGGTCATCCCCCTTGCCTCTTTTTTGTTAACTACCATCAGCTCCAAAGCTGATTAAAAATGCACCCACACCTACACCATACTCACAACCAATTTAAGTTCCACACGTGTGGAATTTCATATTCCTTAATTTCTGCTCATTTCCTACTGTCCAACAAACCTAAGTGCTCTATGCGATGAAAGCCTCTGAGATTTGCCCACTATTTTGAACAGACCAAAATTTTAATGCCAGATCTCAGTGACTGCCCTTCTTCAAATACAATCCATTGCAATTCAACTGCCTTATCATCCAAAATGTTACTATTTCAGCCAGAGTCAGTAACAGATGGCCAGATATTTTACCAGCAGTGAAAAATAGTAACTTTTTTTTCATAGTCTGCTGCTACCTGGAATGGTTATTACTGAACCAAGTGATGAATATCAGCCAGCCAGTCTTTACAAGGTTTGGGAGTTAACCCTAACTGTGGCTCACCATGGTCTCCTTTCATGCACTGGTGCTTACACTCTACTCTGCAGGCTGCTGAAGGGACAAGTCTGGGACAGCCTTAATGTCTTAAATCTTATTAATTTCATGTGAAATTTCAGCAATTCCATGGGCTCTAAGAGACATCTCCAACAGTAACCTCAGCTCATTCAGTGAACTGTCCCAAATGAGCTCATGACAGCAAAAGCAAGAAAGTAAAGACCAAAAATTTGAGAGAAATGCTGAACATTGTCAGCTGATCAGGTGCCCTTCTCAAATTATGGTGCTCACAGACATTTAAATACAAGTACATCTCTGTGTTACTTTACACATGCAAGCCCTTTAAAAGTTATTATCACAAACCTTGCCCAAGATTTCCTTTTTTACCCCCATGTCTTTGGAAATTTATCAATACTTCGGAGCTTGCAGATCCGGATACTGAATCCTTGCACTAAGCATTCTAATGCAAGTCAAAAAACGAGATGAGAAAGACTGTCAAAGAAAGCAAAACAGTTCCTACTATTCTCAATAAAATGTGGACATGAGCTGCAGGAATTCAGGATGGATCTTTGAGGGGGAATATATCAAGGATGTGAATATGTGGAAATGTTTATGCTCCTGTTTATTCAATTACAGAAACCATAGGATTCAGCAAAGCACCTTGACACAAAACTAGTGTTAATTAAGCCTTTCGTGCCTTTTTGCAAGGGTATTTTCTGCAACACATCTTCTAATGTTTTTAATGTTGCATAATTGAATCCCATCCAGAAGAGGGAAAAACTTCTAAAATCCTGAAATTAAAAGGCTTCTAAGTTTCTCCTGGAGTGGAAGTTACACATCTTCCTTAATATTCCTGTCCTCTCCATCCTTTCCTGGAAAAGCAGGCACAGATTTTAAGCTGAATTCACCTATAACACTGCTGTGATTTGGATCTAATGCACAATAAAAGCCATTACCAACTATCCCAAATGAATAATTTCCTCACGATTATAAATCTTTTAGAAGTTTAGAAAGATGCAGTGATAATGCATTCCAGGATTAAATATGGTTTGTTATGCAAACAACATAAGTTATGAATGATATCCAAATCTAGTCTGTTAATACTTCAAGAGGTGAAGATGACTTAAAATCATATAACAGTGCCTTTGGCTGTTAGAGAAAAAAAACCCCTATGTTGTGTTTCGTGTTTTGAAGTATAGAGTAGAAAGATGAAGTGATGTTACTTGAGTAGCAGAAAAGCATTAGAGCTTAGGAACAGCCTAAAAACATCCCAGGGTTCATTCTCAGTGCTATCCCACTCTGACATTTCCTGAATTATCTAAATATTTGTGTGAGTGTTACTTCTGAGATTCAGCATGTTCCAAGAAAACAATTCTGGAAACATAAATTTTCAGCAAAATGACAGGCATTTTGAAGGTGCACGCCAATTGATGTACTTGCCTACAAAAATGTAGAGCAGGACAGAGCCTGTAAAAGATAGTGGCAGGCTGGATTTGTGTCTCGCGTGCCTGGCTCCTGCAATGTACTTCATTATCACAAGACATTTCAGATAAATATGAAGTAGAGATTACCTCCATAAATCAGTGAGGGCTTTTGGTAGAGAGAAAGATTACACACAACTCCTTTACGCGCTGTAGTTTGAGGTATCCATCTGTATGCAGAGCTAGGTTACGTATGACAAGAACACATTGCTGTCATCTCCTCCCACATCCCACTTCCCTTTTACTGCTCCCCTGTTACACGCTGCACGTTCTGCTACATGACAATACCTCCTCTTTGCACAAGGCCTAGATCTTCCCGACTGAGTCACCAGAAATTCATGCTCAAGTAGGTCATGGGGAAGGGACTGGATCCACCTGAAGCCAAGAGATAGCAACGGGAGAGAATTACATTAGCCCCTGTGGCCGTCAGTGAGGAAAATGAACCCCAGCTGCTCCCTGGCATGCTCTCAATTTCAGGAATCTCCCTCACCTGTGTCACCTCTCACACTGACCATCATGTAGTTTTTGACAACTTTCCCCTAGAAAGGTGTGAGATATTTGGCAGGAGGAACTTAGAAGTACTCTGTAAATCAGACCCGGTTCCTGCTCTGAGCGTTTTGATGGCTCTCAGGAGCAGTATGTTTGAACTCCAGAGAGAACTTTTCCAACCTTAGAGATCAATCAATACAGAGGTTCCGAGAGCTACAGAACAGCCCACCAACAAGAATACCTAAATACCTAAAGTAAGTCCATTCACACACTTGAAATAATGCCATCAACTAAACCAAGGATGACTTCTATTACTACAACTTCATATTATAGGTGAATTTAAGCGTAATACCTGTACACAACAAAGTAATTTATTGAAACAAGTGCGTAACAGTTTTCCATGTGCATAGCACTCTTCAGTAGAAAAAAAACCTTCCAAAATTCCTTATCCATATTTTGCTAAGCTACATCCATATTCACATACAAAATGGCTGTGGTAGCCATGGCTGCAGATTTGACTGTCATGTACCAAATTCACTGCATTCTGCCTGCGTTAGATTCCTTGATTTTAGTGGAACAGAAAACAAACCTTGAAAAAAGATTATCTACCATCCATTACACAGAACAATGAGAGACTGGGAACAATCAAGTAACACAGTGTTGTGACATGAGCTGAAGAACTTGCAGGGATAGTGGTAAGTTAAATTTAATCAGCCCTTTCAACAACCAAGCCAGTGAAGAGTTTTTGCAACAGTTTTTGCAAATCTGCTGTTTCTGGACTAAACATGGTACTAGTGAATCCGAGCTGGCTCCTCACAAAACTATCTAAATTGCTTCCACAGGTAAAATGACTCTGGAAACAGCATAGTCAGGAGGTACCTGAGCTCATAAACGATGTCAGTTCTGCAGCTGGCTCTGTACAGAGGCAAAAGCCTCTCTATCTCCATAATTAATTAAAGAACAGCGCAGATATCCTGACCATTTGTAATCAAGAGCTGCCTGTACATGAATCACGAAAACATTTTATATCTACTCATTAAAATTACATGCAGCAGGATATTTAGCCTTGGATGTGAGACAAGCAGGTGCTGGTACTGATGTAGTTGGTGGTTTGAGGTGGCCCATTAGCCAGAGGCAACAGGAGACATGCTCCTGATTGAGCCAATGCAGTATGGATCTACATCTGCTTGACTCCCACACGGAGGCTGCCTGTTATTTTGCCTTGGTTTGACGTGTTTTATCCCCAGAGATATCGCAGCCTGGCAGCACAAACTTTAGGCAGGATCCAACAATAAATCTAACGTAAGAAGGCTATAATTCTTTGGTGTGATAGTTAGAGTCATTTGTTTTTCGCCTGTGAAATATGTGTGCAATTACCATGAAATAGGATAAAATCCATTTCAGTTGTTATTTGACATCACCATTGAGCCTCATAAAAGAAAGTGAAAATGTCAATTAATTATATTATCATGAAAAAGATAATATTGATAGTGTTTTCAAATCTTGCAGGTGGCTCCACAGAAAGAACCCAACTATTTTTTTTATTTACTGTCAGCATTAGTGGTATCACAGGCAGCACAACACAATGTATGCAGACACCTGTAGATGTACTAGTCAATTAGAAAGCGTAACTAAAGAAATGAAAGGAACTGTACTGTACTCACCGGGCTTTACAAGGCTTGTCTTTGTCTCCTTCTTATGCCGAGGCAGCTGTGGGTTCCCTTCACTCATTGTCCCTGGACTGAATTTCTTCCTGGAGAAGTCTCCATCGCTACCAGTGCAAAAAATGATTGGACTGTTTCCAGCATCAGAAGGAGTCTTAACTGGAGATACTGACTGGCTACTAGGACAGCCAGTGTCATCTGAAGAGAAAAGGGAAAACATCAAAATTTCTAACTAATAAGTACATGAATGTTAACAGAATTAAAAAAAAATAAAAATGTTCAGACTACAGCTGTTCACAGTCAGTTACACGATACGCACAACCCTGGCTCTGAAATCTGGTGAAAAGCTATTAATTTGTCCCACTTTGTGAAGAAGTCTTGGATACCTCATGGCAGACTGAAACGTAAGCATCTGTTTCACTAAGTCTGACAAAATACAAAATCAGGGGCTGTGTAATGAAAACTCAGATCTGAGGTAAATTCTCTTGAGTTAGCTAGGTTAGGGAATATTATGGCATGAAGAAATGCATATAAGACACAAGAATGGCTTGTGCAGTGCACACGGGATGAAAAGCAAACATGGGCCACATGCTCTCCTTCAAGATATGTTTTGATGTGAACAAGTGAACGACCTACAGCCCATAAGCAGGGAGTCAGGATTTTCATTTGACCAGAATTAGTAAAGGTTTCTCAACATTGTTTTCCCTTTTAAAGCATCTGTGATCACAGAGCTCGTCCATTATTGACAAATGGCTGTGAGGTATCTGGTTCTGAAGAGGGTGCATTATACACAGACTTATTTTATTTAAAGCCAAATTCCTCTCGAGAGGACACCAGTGCTTCGTGGCATCAGCAGCCACCCCGGGAACAGACATGCGTTCCTGACATCCAGGAATACAAACACTCCATTCTTCACAATTAAATGCAAAATACACCTGAATGTGGGTGAAATCCACAGTTCAAACACTCCTTCATCCAATCACATCTTCTGTAATCTAGAGTAATCACAGCTCCCCTAAAAGTCATGGTGGTTTTAGAAATACACCACAAAAACAAACAGGCTACTCTGACACTGGGAAGCCTTGAATATTTACTCTCCTGGAGAAATGTAATTGTTTGTTCTTTCCCAGGACAAAATGAAAGCTGCCATCTCCATTGTGCAATTGCACTCTGCTCCTGGTGCATTATCTTTACCTAACATGAAACTCAAAGAAATACCTGCAACTGAGCCAAATGATTTGCATGACCATATTGCACTTCCCACTTCCACCCTGTTTATAATTTAGGTCAAGCCTGATCTTGCAACGAGCTTTGCATGGGCAGATTGTTTAAAAAGTCAGTATGTGACTGTGCATTTATAAGGCAAAAGGAGTACTCCATAACTATTTAACCCCCTTCCTGCCCTCCTCCTCCTCTGCCAAGGAATGAGCATCTATTGCTGGCCTCAGGACAGTAAAACAACCTCATCCTTTCTTGTCAATCAGCTTTTCTTCGTGCCTGGCCAGTTACTCTACCCTCACCTATTTGCTCCAGTGTTCTGCTTATCGTTTCTCCATGTCCTGCCTTCAATGCCCAGCAAGGTACCTAAAAGTGCTGACCACCCAAAGCATGGTAGATCCATCAGGATGTGACAGCAACCCCAGGTGCTGCTGCCCCAGCCCCTGCGAACTGCCAGACACGAAGCCAAGCCACGGGGGCAGCCCAGCATCCTGCCAGAATTACCTCTCGAGGCACAGAGGGCAGTAACGGTGCAAAGCACCTCATCCAGCTTAATCATCTTGGATTCCTTCAAACCAGCTCAATTAAGTCTATAAGTTCCTTTACATATGTCCACAGTGTGTTCTCTTTAGAAGCACACAAAAATTTATAATTAAATAATATTTTAAAAGTGCGGGTTCATGCAGTTTACTTTTAATTGTGACCTTTCAACTTAGATGTTTCTCTATGTGGCACTATTTTCAAAGTTCTTTGGTTTCTGTTTTTTAAAAAAAAAAAAAAGACAAAAAAATTATTTAGTTCATTTCTCCACCAATAAAATCACTGCAATACCTGGACAGGCTCTGCAGACCTCACAAATGTTTTTTATATGGGAGACTTTATGTACAAATAACTACCAAAGCTGTAGGCTGTAGGCTACCTAAGAGAACCTCAGGAGCTGATAAAACCTTTAAACAATAAAAGAACTAAGCTACAGTGTTAAGAATTAAGCAGAAAACAAATATGTAAAAATAACTGCAATAACGAAATAGAGTAGCTAAAGAAAGCATACAGAAATAGCATTAAAAGAATATTTTAATTACCAGCGCACCGTTGCCTCTGATACCATACTACTGACACTGTATGATCAGATTATGTCATATCTACATATCTTTGTTTTACTCCTAAAGACTTCAGTTTTCCTTGCAATGGGGCATTTATAATCGGAGCAAATGAGCCAGGCACAAAGAACAATAGCTCTTCTCTACTCACACCACTGGTGGCCTTCAGACACACCAATAACCAGGTGAGCATTCCCACTCCAGCTGACGTAAAGGAATGATTTTGTTGTACTCTCTTCCCTGATCATTTGCTAATTTTTATGTTTTGTACTCCTACTTCTACCTAGTGCTAGCCAGAAACGTGAACAATATGACAAATTTTCCAAATCTAGGGCAAGCTGCAGAGAAACATTTATCTGTGTCAGCTTTCTGCAGTGCCTTTGTAATAACCAAAGTGTTGGCTATGGCAGAAGGGAAGAGCTGCACACAAAACGCCGGTGCCCACCACCAAAGGCAAGCAAAGCTCTGCTGCACACTGTGGGAAACCCCCTCCTGGCACACCTGCAGCCCTCTTACCTTCATTCTACCCTGCTACCAAAGCCTTAAAGGGCAATTTAATTGGTTTTAATATTGTAGGCGAACACCCCACAGAAGAGCCGCAGAGTTCCCCATGGACACCGACCCTGCACCAAGCTGATGTCCCCTTGGTCCCTGGCCTGGCCACCCACCCCGCTTGCTGTCCCAGCCAACCCCTCAGCTCCTCGCCCACAAGGGGAAGGATGCAACTGCCCCAGTGTGGGTTCAATGCTTTCCACAGACCTGTAGGCTCCTCCAAAACTCCGCTGACAACTCTGACAGAAGGACTGACCTTGAGCCAGCAATGTGCTCTTGTGGCCAAGAAGGCCAATGATCTCCTGGCATGCACCAGGAAGAGTGTGACCAGCAGGTTGAGGGAGGTTATCCTCCCCTCTACTCTGCCGTGGTGAGGCTCCATCTGGAGCACTGTGTCCAGTTCTGGGCTCCCCCGTTCAAGAAAGACAGGGAACTGCTGGAGAGGGTAAAGCAGAGGACCACAAAGATGGTCCACAAAGGGGCCTGGAGCATCTCTCTTACAAGGAGAGGCTGAGGGACTTGGGTCTTTTTAGTCTGAAGAAGAGAAGACTGAGCGGGGATCTTATCAATGATTATAAATATTTACAGGGTGGGTGTCAAGAGGATGGGACCAGTCATTTTTCAGTGGTACCTGTTGACAGGACAAGAGGAAATGGGCACAAACTTGAATATAAGAAGTTCCATCTAAACCTGAGAAGAAACTTCTTTACTTTGAGAAGAAAATTCTTTACTTGAACAGCCTGCCCAGCGAGGTGGTGGAGTCTCCTTCTCTAGAGACATTCAAAACCACCTGGACACGTTCCTGTGAAACCTGCTCTAGGTGGACCTGCACTGGCAGGGGCGTTGAACTAGATGATATCCAAAGGTCCCTTCCAACCTCATATCATTCTGTGATTCTGTGGTTCTGTGAGTTGAAGACCTCCACCTGCTTGGAAATGGGCCAAGATAAGGAATCTGTCTCCAAAGTAGGCAATGGGGTAACAGGAGCAGACGAGCCCATAATAGGATTCACTTTCTGCTGAAGATGTGATGTGAACATAGTTTTCAGCAAGGTCAGTTAAGAATTCAGTCCTATAAGTCGGCAAGAGTTTTGCCCCAGTAAGGATTTCAGTAATACAGATAGACCTGATTTACCTTCTCAGGCACGTCCACATTAGGAAGACAGAAGAGAGAAAGCTGGCAAATACTGCTGTGAAAGTCCATACTTCTGATCTTGCCTGTATTATTTACTTGCACAAGAGGAAAAACCACATAAATTTATAACACACGACTTTTATTGCTTGCTTAGCAATATTCATGGTGTCTTTTTTCACAGTGGCCTCCTAAGAGTGTTCTGGGAGTAGACTTTTCCTTTGAACATCAGCTGGATTTCATCACTGAAAGTCTGCGTCCAAGCCCTCTCCCAGATCAGACGTGCTTGCCAAGTTTCAAAGCCAAGCACGGGATAGTGTCTCCTCAAACAAACAAGCAGGGAAGTTGCTCAGAGCACTCTGACATTTGCATGCACTGATGAGCTTTCAAATAGTAAAGTCAAAGTATAAACAACAGTGTTAAAGATAATAGTACTCCAACAGCTGACAAAAATATTGTTCTCATAGACTTTAAGGGCATATGTTGTGACTTGATAATTTTCTCTGATTTTCTGGGCGCAGAAACTTTAGAAGTTTTACTGAAATATGTCTTAGAGCCTTTAGAAAAACACTGCCTTTTCCTGAAGACCTCAGTAAATACAGAATTTACAACCTCTTTATATAATCCATCCAAATAATTAATGATGCTCTCGCTGAGGAGCCACTGACTTATTTCTACTGTCACTCCCAGCTGCCAGATCTAGTTATGCACTTTGATGAGTCTGAACTGTCTGTCCCTACCTGATCCCTTGTCCCACTTTCATCTTCCTTTAAAGTCCCCTTGACCAACGTTCAGGCTGTAAATACCCTGTATTTCCACTAAGAAATGTGGATTCCAGAATTAAACACAGGCCTCTGACGAACTTTTACCAGTTCTGTGCACTGAGACAAAAGCTGTTTCCTGACTTTTTCTAATGGTTTCCTTTCCATTCATTCCAGGATCTGTTAGTCCAAGTAGCCATGGCTCTGCCAGGATGGCACATTAGCAGCTGGCTATTGATGGTGAACCACTAAGGGCATTTCAGAATTTTTCAGGATAATCTCCTGATCTCCTTGCGTGCTCCACATTTTTTGACCCCCTGTGTGTTTTGTCTTCTTTTTGTGACTGGTGTTGTAGCACAGGGGTGTTTTAATTAATGAAAGTTGCTGACAGACACCAAAGGCAATGTATCACCCAGCTTCCACCTGCTGGGGCTCA